AGATTTTTTTCTCTTATATCCTCAATATAATTCTAATTTAATTTTTTTATTTTTTTGTTTTGAATATTCTCATAACATTTCCATCTGACTTATTATCTTAATTTTTTTATATCAACTCCTAGATAGTTTAAGATGCAGGATATATGTATTTTTTGATCTTAATAGCTTAAACTGGCCCTTACACTGAGAGGAGTTGTAGCTGCAATTAGGGCATGTTTATTAACTTGTCCTATAATGTTTATAAGTAATTTCTTTTTTGACAAAAATTGATTCAGATCAAAGTATGAGTAGTGCATAGTCTATTTTCTTTTTTTCATCATTGTTTTGTGTTTTTTGCTTCATTCTAAACAAGATTTGCAACTGCCATCAATGTCAGATTTGAAAGACCTACAATAATACTAACAAAAAATGAAAAAAAAAAAAACTTAAACAGTTTATTCCATAAAGTAATAAACAACACGCATGTAGCAATATAAATTTCATGATAAAAATTACCTGATGCACTTATCGATGTTATTTTATTTGAATAATTTACATCAGTATTTTTAATTGAGGATTCTAAATCTTCCAAATCTAAGTAGAGGAAGACGGGAAACATTCGACCATGGGGAACATTCGACTTTTTCAAATATTTCCCAATATGATAAAAATTACCACTTTTTTTTTTTTACACAAATTTTTATCCATGTTTTGTCTGTTAATAAGCTATCACTGGAAATAAGTATTGATCCATCTTTATTAGTATTAATACTTATATAGAGAAAAATCTAATTATTGATGCAAAAGGTAAATTTTTATGTTTTAAATAACCCACAAAGAATCTCTTTTCCAATTTTAACCTCTTAAACTTTTTTGTTGTTTATTGTTTAATGATATCTTGAGTTAAAAACCTTTGTGTTTGGTTTACTTTAAAAAATTGATTTTAACAGCATTTGTTTATACATAACACGTGTGGGGTACATTCGACCTACCTAGCTTACATATGAAAATGTAGTATTAGAAAAAATTACTAGTATTTTCAATAATTCACTGTCTGAACCACAAGCCGCAAAAATATTTCATGCCCAGATATGCCATAAATAGAACTTTAATGGGAGAACCAAGTGAAAGTCTAGGGGTAATAGGTACATCATTACAAAATAATAAATAAGCTATAATAAAGTAGTTTGTTATATCTATATAAATAGACTATTATTGCTACCAAAGCATCATTATCTGATGTTGAAGCTTTTAAAAGTTATTTTTTTAAAAACATAACACAGAAAAAGAGATTACAGATGTTGTTAATTGCAATTGTAAAAAGTAACCAATTGTGCTTTGCTTGAAAAGGAACGCTTGACAAATTATCTCATTAAACCTTGAATTGATGGGGGTGGATCATTTTTGAAAATAATTATTATTAGCACATTAAATAAAACTGATGAATCGTTTAACACTTTACAAAAGTTGTGACAACTTAAGACACTAAATTAATTATTACTTTTGCAAAATCCTTCAAAAGCATTAAAGCTTTGCTAGGTTTAGCAAAAATAGTGTTAGATTCAAAGTTTCTTGTGATTTTTTGTATTGCATTGCTGAACAGCAAACATTTGTCAAGTATTTAAAGAAACATTTTAACTTTGAAATAATACTAAAAAATATAATAGAATTAAATTTTACCTGTTACTTTGTTGGTATTTTACAATAGAATCATAGTTGTATTAATATTTTTTTTTAGTAACGTAAAAGATATATGTTATAAGGGAAAAAATCTTATTTGAAACTATATTATAGGTGTTTTTTATAAAATTTTAAAAAAATTATATATCTCTATCAGACAAAACTAAATTTTTTAAATAGTTTACTTAATTTATCTATTGTTTGTATATAATCACACCTCCAAAAGTGTTTTTCAAATAATTTCTGTAATAATTAACCCTAAAATTGATAGGATTTACAAGTGAATGTTTTTTTGATAAAAATAATATATATATATATACTTATATATATATACATATTATATATATATATACATGTATATATATATATATGTATATAAATATATATATATATGTATGTATGTATATATATATATATATATATATATATATATATATATATATATATATATATGTATGTATGTATTATATATATATATATATATATATATATATATATATATATATATATATATATATATATTCATACACAAATACATACATTAATAATATATTAAGCAATATCTATATTATAGGGTCTGTTGCATAGGACCCAAATGAAGTTTCAAACAAACACCCATTTATTAGCTGGTAATTGGAAATTTATTAGCTGGAAATAAACTGGAAATGCTGCAATTGCAGCATGTGAAATTACAAAATATGCAAAGCATTAGACAACAATTAAAGTCCTTCACAAACAACTACCAAATCCGATTATCTTATATACATCAAGCTTTAGTAAAAAAAGATATTATCAACAACGTACAGGTTATTCCAATTGGGTTAGAAAGCAATAACAGTTTAATCAGCAAGAAGGCAAACAACAATATTATCAAAAAACTCAATAAAGACAACCACACTTTTATCAACAACAATACCAAATATACCAAAAACAAAACTACTTGCAATACCATCAACAACAATGTCAACCATACCAACAACAATCCCAGGATCAAATCTAAAATAACAAAAATCACTACTAAAAAAAAAGCAACCATACTTTTCACAGAAACTCCCAAAACATTTTAAAGCAAACAGCATCAATATTGACTCAAATAACAATAAACTGTATGTACACTAATGCAATATTGTTCATTAACATGCAAAATGCAATATCATGCAAAAATAGATGAACTTTCAGTTTTGATTGAACAATACGAATCACATCTAATATGTATAATGGAAACCTATATTTTTCATTATAGGTTTCATTCAACTTTTTGCTCCAATTTATTAGTGTATAGCTTATTTAAGCACAATATAGATAGTCATGAAGAATGGTGCATCAAACACAAAAAAAGTGTGAACAAAAAATGTCAAAACATCGAACATTACTAAGTAAGACAAGTGATTAAGAAAAAAAATCAGTTGGCATTGCAATAATGCTTTAGGATGAATGCCTAAATCACTAATCTAATAATATAAGTCAGTACGCATCTCAGTTAAAATTAAAATAAAAAAATATGTTCAAAAATATGAAATGGATTTAGCAAATGATAAAAAATAATCTTAAATGTATGAGTTCATATATAAGTGAAAGATAAGCAATTAAATATTTTACTAAATTAATGCATTATGAAATCAAAATGGTAGTATTTTAATAATAGGTACAGATAAAGGTAACACACTTAACAAATAATTTCAATCAGTTTTTATACAAGAAGATGAATCTGAGTGCATGCCCTTCTTTGAATCTCAATTGGTTATTAAACCAATAGACGATATAACTTTCATGATTGATGAAGTGCAATCCTACTTGTTAAAACTCGATCCTTTCCAATTGACTGATGAAAATAGAATCACCCCTTACATCCTAAAAATGTGTGCAGAAACATACTCTTTACCATTGCCACTATTTTTTCAGCTATCTTATAATAGAGGTTCTATCCCAAATGCTTGGGATTTAATTCTGAAACGAATAACGAATGTTATCCTGATTTTTAAAAAGGTAGTAAACTAGAACCATCCAATTACAAACCGGTCTCAATCACATTGGTTCCATACAAAGTCATGGAACATTTTATGCTCAAATGCACAGATTTGGTAAAGATTGATATATGATTTTCACAATTTTTGATAAAGTAGCACTTTATCAAAAGCTTTAGAAAAGTCTAAATATATCATATCAACACTACTTTTACAAGCTAAACATTTTGTTGCCAAATCTGTGCATTTGAGCATAATAAGATGCAGCAACGGTTATTGCTTAAGTTATCAATGTATAGCTTAAATAGAAAATTGCTGAATTGGACTGAGCCTTTTCTAATGAATAGGAGGCAAAGGGTAGTTATGGGTCAAAATGTATCAGATTAAGTGAATGTAACAAGTGGTGTACCTCAGGAATCTGTTCTCAGACTGACTCTATTACACATAAATTACTTACCCAGAGAACTTGAAACTAAATGTTTTATTTATGCTGATGATATTAAATTAATAAAGCCTAAAAAATTTAACACAAATTCAAATGATTCACTAGAACTTCAGGATAGTATAAACAAAATTTCAATTTGGTGCAACATGTGGCTTATAGAACTAAATATTAATAAGTGCATGGTTATGCATATAGGTAAAAATGACTCACATCATGAATACTCAATCACAAATGCTAATGGACATATTTTCAAAATTAAAAAAACTAAAACAATAAGAGATTTAGGAGTTATTATATCAAAAGGCATGAAAACTCATGCACATGTAAATCATATAGTAGCCAAAACAAATAGTATACACTTTAGAAGCATACATTTCAATCAAGAAACAAGCAGATATGGAAAAGGCTTCATACCATTTATATCTGCCTGCACCTGGAATTTAATATGCTTGCGTGGAGACCACATCTAGAAAGAGATATCTTTAAAACTGAACAAGTTCTACGAAGAGCTACAAAAAAGTTGCACACTGTATATAAAATCACTTGTATAAAGATGAACGCATAGACTTGATCTAACAATGCTGGAAATAAGAAGAAATTGTGGAGATGTATTACAAATTAAGCAAAATTATATAAAAATTTCAAAAGTAATCATTGTTTTATAAAAAATGGAGAAATAAAAATAATCAAAAAAAATCTTGTTGAATTCCTTTTTTTCGTTTTAAATTTTAAAATATCATTTTGTATTTACTAAAACCTAAAATAATAATTTATTTATAAAATAATTTATATTATGGAACCTCTTTGGTGTTTAAGGGTTTTGTGGCACCTTAAAAAATATATTTTATTCAAAAACATTTTAAATCCAGTGTTATTTGAAAAAAATCAATGAAGTAAAAATGAAAAATGGATATTTTTTTTGTCACTCCTAGGCTGATCTCAAAGCTCTGAATCATACAAATGTTACAATTAAAGAAAACTTGTTATTAGAAAAAGAACGAAATTATGTTTTACAGCAAACACTCAATGATTTACTTAGCAAAAGTAAGATTTTTAACCAATTTTTTAAAATATTTTGATTAAAAATATTAAAAATATTAATTTTTAAATATTAATTTTTAAAATATTTTACATATTTATATTACCACAAGGTTTTAATAATTAAAACCTGAAGATATGTTTTTAAAATTTATTTTCAGATATGTCATAAAAATTATAGTATAATAATAATAATAATAATAATAATAATAATAATAATAATAATAATAATTCAATTAATTTGAATTTATATATAAGTATCAAATAGCTGACTCTTTATTGAGTGTGTTTATATATATATATATATATATATATATATATATATATATATATATATATATATATATATATATATATATATATATATATATATACATAAACACAAATTATATGTATATGGTTTGAAGTTGCTTTGCTGCTCCAAAATAGGAGATTTTTTCAGAATTGAAAAAATAAGATAGACTTATAATAAGGGTAAGACCCCAACAAGACCTATTATCACAGCGTTCTGCAGCTTGATGCTTGTCTGTCTAGACATAGAGTTATAAGCAATTCATTACTGTCAGATACACATACACAAAATAATACAAAAATGTGTAAAAATTATATTAAAAAAAAATTAAATTCATGTATGTTAATCAAAGTATAATATATCAAAGTAATATATCAAATAATATATTAAAGTATGATATATCAAAGTAATTTATCAAATGATATATCAAAGTAATGCGTGGATTTGCTCCCTCAGTCACCACATTGTAATCTAAATTAGTTTTAATGGGATGAACTAGCTGAAAATCTCTAACAAAAGTATCCAGTAAATCAAGAACAACTCTCAGAATACTGACAACAGTGTTGGTGTCAAATTTTACCAATTAAATTAAAGAAAGACTGCTGAAAGTTTGTGCATTTTTTTTTAAGGCCTAAAGAGGTTACTTTAAAAAATATATAGTTATTCAAAATAAAAATTTAATTTTCAATGTTTATACTTTCTTTTATGTTTTTGTTGCAAAAAAATCTTCTTCAAAAGTATTTACTATTAAAAGTAGAGTGTTAATCAGTTTTACTTGTATTGAATGGTGATTCAAAAACTTTTAATAGTAGTGTGTATGTATATAAATGTATATAGACTCACACACACACACACACATACACACACACACACACACACACACACACACACACACACACACACACACACACACACACACACTATCTTTTAACATATTTTGCAAGAAAATAAGTTGCTAAGAGATTTCATTCTAGAAATAATTGAATGGTTTTCTATTTTTAATAATTGAGAGTTTAAAATGTTTTTTTTGAAAATTCATGAAAATAGTTTTTTATTTCTAAGTGGGGAAATCTGGTGATGGACAAACCTACAGGTCTGAAGAAATCTCATCTTTGGCAAGAAAACTGGCAACACTTGAAATGAAGGTTGTTTTTTTATGGCTTTATTTTATATTTCTTTTATAAATTTTTTTGAAGAAATAATTTGGAGTGTTAAATAGTTAAAATATAAAATACTGTTATTGTACATTGTTTGAATTGAATGGTACATTGTCTGAATTGCTACATAGCAAGTAGTTGTGGTATATTTGTTAGAGTGCTGGCTTCAAAATCAATGGTTTAATGTCTGCTTTAGCCATGTAAGCAACATTGGTAAGAAAAATAATGTTGACTTTTAGTTATATGCTCCTTTGTGGTGCTTCATAACTCTGTTGGAGTCTTCTTATAATCTTGAAAAAAAACCCAGATCAAAAACATAACTACTGGATTAAAATTAAAAATTGTTTTGACTAATAGGTAGGGCTAAGCTGTTGACTGAAAGGTGATAAGTGCAAATTTCATTAAGATGATAGGTAAAAAGCTGGCGAGACCAAACTTTTATCTCAAGACAGTTCAAGGTAGCTTTACTGGCCATCCTGATTTGTCCTGTTTTTTTTTTTAAAAGATGTCCATTATTAAAGCATAAATTTAAATTTTTTTTACTTTCTGCTTCAATATTTCTGCCATTTTGTTTATATTATTCTAAACTTGACAGTTTTGGTATTGCTTCAGTGTTTAACGTTTTAATGCTATTTTGTAATCTAAGATTTTCATTGCTAATTGAATGTGAATATTTTATTTAAATTTCATATACTAGTTTCAATTCTTTAATGTAGTCTATAAACCATTTATGTTTCAATTTATAACCTGTACTTTTACACAAAGACTTTCTTAACTGTATTGAGTTACATTGATAAACAAAAAATAATAATTACATTTTGTATGTTTTCAAACCTGCATGTTAACTTAAAGTATATTGTATTTTAATTGTTAAATGATGTCAAATTGATCATTTAAGCATTTTAATTTTTTTTTAAGATAACAGAGTTTTTTTTTGATAAATTTTTAAAAGAATAGTTTTATCTTAGGAGCTGAATGAGCGAGAAAAGGCTGAACATGCAATGCAGAAATATGAACAACTCAAATGTCTTGTAAATGAACTGGAAACTAGAAATTTAGATTTGGAAAAAAAGTTTGCTGATGTAACTTTGTTGTTTACTATAAAATAATTTTCATTGTTTGTTGTTTAAATATAGTAAACTTATTGTTTTTTTCATATATTTTTTTTAGATTTCCAAATTAAATTTACAGTCTCAGCGTATTGAACAAGAACTAAGTCACCAACTTGCAAGTATGCTTATGTTATTCTGAAGAAAAAAAACCATACTGCTTTCTTATTAACAGTTTATAAACACTGTTCTCCAAAACATTAGCAACCAAATAAAATAAAAAAATTTTTCAATTTTAATTACTGAATACAGCAACTTTTCTAGAAAAAATACACTTTAAATGAAAAAAATGGTTAATATTACATATAAGAAAAAAGATTTATACGCAATAAGACTACTTGAAAATGAAGTGTTTTTTTGCTTCTATTGGTATTTTAATATGAAAATGTGGTTTTCCAAAACAACTTTTTTACAACTACTCAAAAACATATTAAAATCAATAGTTAATGGTATATACTTTTTAGAATCATGAATCATCTTGTCGGCATCGACTCAATGAGTTTAATATTTTTTTCTGGTGTAATTTCATTTCAGGTGGCTTCAATAGCTTTAAATAGCTCATCAGGGTTATTGAAGTGGCCTTTGTTTTTTAAGGAAAGTTCAATGTGGTACCATAAATTTTCAATTAGATTGAGATCACCTGATTAAGCTGGCCACTTTTTAATTTAATTTGATTTGTTTTAAAGCATTGTTTAATGAGGTATGTTTGCTGTTTGTTTAGTGAGTGTGTGTTTACACACACTCACTAAACAAACACACACTCACTAAACATACATGTATACTGTCTTGTTGAAATATCCATAAAAGAGTTATTATCAGCATGAAGAACTATTTTTTCTACAAGAATATTACAATAAACAAATTGATCCATAATGCCATTTATTTGATGGATAGGCCCAACTCCAATAAAACCAGAAAAATAACCCCAAATAATTGCTCTTTTCTGACCACTATGCTTGACTGTTCCTCTAATATATTTAAGATCTAAGCATTTACCTTTAGCTCTACATACCTTCAAATTGCCATCAAAACCATTCAAATTGAACTTTGATTTATCACTCCGCAATACTCTTTTCCAATCATTAATAGTCCAGTTTTTATGAGCATTTGCAAATTCAATTCTAGCTTTTTGGTTCTTTGGAGAAATGAAAGATTTTTTTGCTACTCTGAAGCTCAAACATCCTAAAAGTTGTAACTCTATGCAAATTGTGTTTTGAGACACAAAAAATTTCAATTTTTGAATGATATCATTAACACTGTCAAAAAGATTTTTTTTGGCTTGACAAGTACTTTTTCTGTCAGTGAAAAAACATGTTTTGCTTGGTCTTTTGCCCTTATGTTGTGTTTCTAAAGGATTGCCTATATTAAATTGTTTGATTATTCAACATGCAACTGATTTATAAATGGAGGTCTTGGTGGCAAATTTTTTTTGTTAGACTCCTCTTTTATAATCTTTTATAAAATGTTTTCTAAAAGCTAAACTATACTTGTTGCCATTATAAACCATAACAGTGCAAGTTTGTAATCTCAAGCTAATGTTGTAACAATTGCTATATTACAGTTCCCTCTCTGGACAAATAATAACAATTTTTTAATTCTTATTGGTTAAGTATTAATGACATTAAAATTATCATGAACATTATTTCCACACAAAGAAGTTCTCTTACGAATGATTTTTTGTGGTTTGTGAATTGTTTTTTGTGGTTTGTGAATTGTTTTTTGTGGTTTGTGAATTGTTTTTTGTGGTTTGTGAATTATTTTTTAAGATAGCTATAGTTCTTCATTTTAAAGTCTTCTTATGTATAAATCTTATATGTAATATATTAATCATTTTTCTTATGTATAAATCTCTTTTCTTATATGTAATATATTAATCATTTTTCTTATGTATAAATCTCTTTTCTTATATGTAATATATTAATCATTTTTCTTATGTCTAAATCTCTTTTCTTATATGTAATATATTAATCATTTTTCTTATGTATAAATCTCTTTTCTTATATGTAATATATTAATCATTTTTCTTATGTATAAATCTCTTTTCTTATATGTAATATATTAATTATTTTTCTTGTTTATAAATCTCTTTTCTTATATGTAATATATTAATCATTTTTCTTATGTATAAATCTCTTTTCTTATATGTAATATATTAATCATTTTTCTTATGTATAAATCTCTTTTCTTATATGTAATATATTAATTATTTTTCTTGTTTATAAATCTCTTTTCTTATATGTAATATATTAATCATTTTTCTTATGTATAAATCTCTTTTCTTATATGTAATATATTAATCATTTTTCTTATGTATAAATCTCTTTTCTGATATGTAATATATTAATCATTTTTTTATTTAAAGTGTCTTTTTTACAGTAAAGTTGCTGTTGTAGTTGAAGGTGGAAATTTTTTTTTACATTTGAAAATGTCTTTTTTACACAATAAATGCATGCCTTATTTTTGCTGTTTTTTTAATTTTGATGTTAAAAAAGATATTGATGATATATATTCACTTGATGATACATTTATTTATGTGTATTTTTTTTTTTAACTTTTACAGGTTTTTATAATGTTTTGTTTACTTATTTTTATATTTTTTAATGTTTTCCAATTAATTTTGTTTTCATTTTTTTAGATTCCTTTATAAATTTTGTCCAATATTAAATGCAAAATTTCATAAAAACAACAGTTTTATTTATATTTTCTTTTTACCTTGTGTGACCACAGACTACTTTATTACTATTAATGCTCATTATCAAGTTTTAAACCAAATAATTAAATTATATGATTACTTTGAGTAACTGCTTATTAAATGCTTACAACACTTTAATTTGGTATATTATAAACTAGTTCCAGAATTCATTGTAAAATACAATTATGATTGTTATATGAATCAAGTTTACTGCTCATTGTATTGATTATTGTATGAATCAAGTTTACTGCTTAAACAATTTATGATAAAGCTGGTACATTTAAGTATATAAAAATTAATATACCATATATTAGTTTTTATATGATATGTTTTTGTTTTATTTCATTTATATAACAAAAATCTTTAATTAGCTTATTCTCATTTATTCAATTTAATTAGCTTATTCTCATTTATTCAATTTATAATCTAATACATATTTCTTAAAATATTTCTACTTTAAGAATAAACAAAAATGATAACTCTTTTATTTACTTATAATTTTAACTTAATATAAAGTATGTAATTGAAGAAAAAAATACTGAAATTATTTGTAAATAGTTGAAGAATTTACAAGACAATGTGGTAATATATTTGTTAATGAAATACAACTATTTTAAGATAAAAATTTCAAAAAATAGAATTGTTTTCTAAACTGTTGAAGCCCACCTTTGGTAAAGAGAAATTAATAAATTGAATATACTCGTAAAATGGTATGCTTCATAAAAGAATAAAAACAATTTTTTTATTGGACATTATATAAAAGCAAATTTTTAAATTTTAGTTTATAATAAGAAAAATAGTAGACTGTTAAAAAATTAAAAAAAGAACATAATAAAAAATTCTTGTTTTTTTGGCCAAAAAAATATTTGCTCATGTCCATGTATTAAAAATTGGTATTGTCTTAAAAAAAATTTTTGCACATGTCCATGTATTAAAAATCGGTCTTAAAAAAACTCTCAAGAAAAATACACAGAAAATTATTAGTTTTTAAATTATTACCAAATCATAAAGAAGTTGTACATCTTATTTAATATCTTTTTAAGTAACATATTTTCATAAATAAATATTTTCATAAATAAATATGAATTTAAAATTAATGAAATTCTAACATTTATATGTTTTTAACTAAAAAGCTTTTCAGATTTGAAATCAATTATAATATTTATTTATCTTTTCCAAAGATTGTGTTCCATCTGAAGTAAATCGTGTTGATAAGCAGCGCATTCTAAAGCTAGAAGAACAACTAGCGCAGCTAACCAATGAATGCAGCCAGTTAAAGGAAGTAGCAGATGTTGCACAGCATCAGACTGAAACTGTTCAAATTCAGCTTACATCTCAAGAAAAAGAGTTAACTTCTCTTAGAAAACAAATGTATCAGCAACAGATGGAAACAGATGAAAAAACAATAATAGGTAAATCAGTTTCATTTTAGCAATTATTCAAACATTTAAGTTTATTGAGATTCAATTGAAATAATATTTTATGTTACTACTTCAAAATTCAGTTTGCAAAAAAAAAACAAAAAACAACCTTTGTATGACTGACATTTACATATAGATGTCTAAAGGCCTTCCGGTCAACAGTTAAAATGTATATTTGTTTTGAATAAAAGTTACCTGTATATTTGTTCTTTTTTAAAAATGCCTAAATTTTTGGTAATATTTTAAAGAAATAATGTCAAAAATCATCAAACCACATTTAAACCTGAGCTAGATTTAAAATTTGTATGTTAAAAATTGAGTTGTATTAGTAAGAAAATATTAAATGATACAAATCCTCTTAAATAAATATTATCAAAAGATCAATACAGATATATATATATATATATATATATATATATATATAAATATATAACGTAAAAATACCATATCGTTACATCATCTTTGAAACTATTAAATAAGCGAAATGAATTAATATCAAATGTCGCCACGAAAACAAATTTGTTATCTGCAACTTTAACGTCATCTAAGCAAATACTGTATTGTATTTTTGTATATAATTTTTGTTGTTGTTATGGTTTGTAATGTCTGATGATCACATATAGCGTGAAACTCTGAGTTATGTTACAAATTTAATTTTATTATTATTTTAATATAATATATATATATATATATATATATATATATATATATATATATATATATATACGCATATTTTATCCGTATTTTGAATCGTTTGTTTACTCATGGACACAACAGAATGTACATACACAGACCTATTTTGTCTACTCAGATAAACTAGGTAGCTGCCTATGGCCATTTATTATAGAGGCTGCCAATAAGCATAAAAAAAGTTTTCAAAATTTAATCGAGATAAAAATGTATAAACATGTGTTCAATAGGGTGTTGACCTTTTTACAACACATGTTCTAAATTATTTTCTAATGAAAAATTATGTATAACAACATAAAATCATATTCATTTACATTAATTTTTCAAAAAGATCACCTACCAATAAAAACAAAAATATTTCTAATCATTAAAACAATATTGAATTTTTATTTGCAGTTTGCAATTAATTTTCTTTTTTTTACATCCTAATATTAGACAAAACAAATTTTAAATTATTAAGTTTATACATCGAGGCTTAAGCAACTTTTATTGCTCTTTCAGGACATATTACTGTGCTGGATGTTTGCAATTGATGTTTTTTTAGTCTAATAGGTTTTCAAACAAGTAAGAACTTTCTGGCAATTACCAACTTTCTTGATATCTTCTTTAAGATCACTATAATCATTTTTAATAAAAATATGTTTCCCAAACCATATTGTGTGCCAGTTACAAAAATTACAAACTGCTTCTAGTTGTTCTCTAGATGAGTTGATAAGAAAATAACTTAAAAATCCATAAACTGCTCTTGAATTCCATCTTGCACAGTGAAGAGATGGTAATGTATTTGGAAAATTAATTTTAGGAAAGTATGCATTTCCTAAAATTAATTTGGAAAATTAATTTTTGGAAAGTATGCATAAATTGTAAAGCAATTTCATATCATCTCTCCATCATAAAATTTTGAAGTTTAAAGAAGGACCACTTGTCAAATGCTTCGACAAGATTTTTGTAATTTTCAAGAATGAATTTAACAAAAGATTAGTGTAAGTCAGGTGAGGTAGACTTTTCAGGTAAAGCAGAAGTTGGTAAAGCAGAAACTATTTTTAATGGGTTGGCTGAAAGTATTGACTCTTTTGATTTATGGAATTGTATAAAATGATTATAACAGATAGAACTGCTGCTTCAGGACATGCAGAATCAATGACCAACGTTAAAACTCTGTCCAGAACATGGTGTTAATATGAAACATACTGTGGATTATCAAATCCAAGGTCACTAAATTTTTTTTGTAGTCTAGTTACTGTATCATTTTTTTTTACCAGTATTAACAGCAGTTCTATCTGTTATAATCATTTTATACAATTCCATAAATCAAAAGAGTCAATACTTTCAGCCAACCCATTAAAAATAGTTTCTGCTTTACCAACTTCTGCTTGACCATCAAGACATGAACAGCTCATTTTACTTCTTTTGTACCCTTTTTCAGAACCACTACTTGGTGTTCATTGTAGTTAAAATATTTTCCATCAAAATGGAGGCATATTTCCTTTTTTAAATTTTTTTTATATGACATTTTTAAGTTTTTGCTTCTCTCATAGTTGCTTTATATATTGATGAATGATTAGGTGTGTCTATATCTAATCCAATATTTTTAACTAAAAAATTGCACACTGCTGCAACTTTTCTTGATGATAACTTTGCTGCTGTTGATAATTTCAAAACTGATGAAGTTGTCAATATATCATCTGGAGTAAGCATTGGGTATTGTCAAAACATTCATCCCCACTAGTCTCAATAACTATAGTATCAGAATCAGTAATAATATCAGTATCTTCTGTATATGAGTTTTCATTTTGGATGTTTCTGATTCTCTTTGATGGATGAATTTTTGTTGGTTCAGCTACTTTATAAGAACAATAGCCTGCTTTTCCTTGTGTTTCTATCTGCGTATTGTAAAAATTTTTGTCTTCACTTGTTAGCCACACACACACACACACACACGCACGCACGCACACACACACATACACACACAGATATATATATATATATATATATATATATATATACATATATATATATATATATATATATATATATATATATATATATATATATATATATATATATATATCAAACAATTGAGTAAAAGAAGTGGTTTTTTGGTTTTCTTAAATATTTATCGTAATCTGTTATTAGATTTTTTACTTTACGATGAACAGATTGCATTGATAAAGTATGAAAATTTTTATAATAATTCTCTCAGTTCTAAGCAAATTATTTTGATTCAATTTAACTTTGACTTTTCTAAACACATAATTGATTTGAATCTTCTAATCACTGTAGCTTTAGATGGCATTTTTAAAACTGTTTAAATTGTCCATACTGACTACACATTTTCTATTAACATTGTGAAATCTATTTTTTTCTAAATTATTTGTCCCATTTTTCTTGTTTTATTTGATTAAATTTTTTAATTTCTTAAATGACATTCTAAAAAATAAAGTGTTTCTGAAATTATTCACAGTTCGCCTTAACTAAATTTAGCTTTTTTGAATTGTGTCCAAATTATTTTCAACATTTTCTGAAAGAGTATAGTTTACTTATCACTATGTATATAGTCCACCAAATCAGAAAACTCCTATTAAGTAATTATGGCATTTTAAAGATTTTTTCGCACCTTTTTTTTGCGCCTTTTATTTTGCACCTTTTTTGCTAGTATTTTGCGCCATTTTTTGGTGTGCCATGTTTTCATTTAAAATTTTATTGTCAATTTTAGTTAAAAGTTATACAATTTATTGAAAATCAATAATACAGAAGGTATTTGTTATTACATTGTTAAAGAGTGGAAAATCACATAATTGGAATGTTTTAAATCATCAAACGAACATATATTTACAATTATTAAAATTAAAAACTATTTCTTCTTGAATTGAATCACTAAAAAATATCAATATTTAGATCAACATTTCCATGAGAAACAAGATGTTTTAATTCCAAGGCCCATTTTTTTTGTTTTACAGAATTTAGATACATGATTGAACAGGATATGAAGTTTTGGTGTTAAAGTAATACCATGTTCTAACATCAACTTTTTATAGCAGGCAATTAAATTTTCGATAAAGTTTTCATCAAGTCTGGATCCAAAGCAAGACTCAACAACTAAATTTAATAATCTTAAGCATTCTCCAAAAGACTTTAGTTTAATTGGCAGCTTATCATTAAAGACTTCCCACTTTTTAAGAATTTTTCGCGAAGAATTTCCATTAAATTTTTCCCCATGCTAACCAGTCTTAATAATTTGTAACTGTTCATAAATCTCCTTCATATTCATTTCCAACCAAATTGGCTCCATGTTAACCATTACATGATTGACTGTTCCCTCATTATATGAAGCTCCAATAAAACAAGAATATTTAAAAGAAATTCAGAGGGGTTTACATGTACTAATACAGGGTTTTGCACACTTAGGTTTTGAACCAGGTTCTTTGAATTTTATATAGTTTCTTGACAGCTCTCAAAGGTTCTGTATGGAGCATTTTTCCAAGTTTCTCCTTTATCCCACTCACATACATAACAGGGATGAATTGAATTGCTACATGGAGATATACCTGTCAGAATTTGACTAAGTTACATACCCCAATGTGCTACACTTTTTCAAGATTTAGTTTTTCAAATAATATTTTAATGTTAAAATATCTTTCTGGGATCTCTGGAGCTACCAGAAGAAGAAATGAAGTATTTACTGACGAATCTTTGAATTTCTTTATTAGATCATCTTTATATGAACCCCTGCAAGCTGTTAAGGGTTTTGTTTTAAGGTAATCTATGTTAAATATGCCGTAATTTTCAAAAATTTCATTGAGATCAACTATATTTAATTTTTACCTTATTAATCATATTAACAAGTTTTATCATTTGATGATTACTTAAGGAAAGAGAATTCTGAATACAAAGAAGATTTTTTTTTGAGTAAAGTTGGTTGTTTTTGGAGTATTCTCAGATCCAATAGATAATTTTAGTTTACTACTACTACTACTACTACTGTCTTCAATGAAATGGTGTTACCACTTTCACTACATAGCTTTTCTTTAATAACGTGGGAAGCCATTTGTTTCTTGACATCTAAATAAAAGCTTACTAAGGTTCAAAAGCTTGCTAAGGTTAAATTGAAATCATTATTTTTGATTTATTAAACTTAACATTTTTTTCACTTATCTCTCTATTAGTAATGCAGCTTTTCTAATACCTTGATATCCTGGTGCAGCTGATATGTTATTTCTGAAAAAATCATTTACGCAGTTGTTTTCTTTAGAACATGTTATGCAATCTTTCAAAGTCAAATATTCAAAGTCATAAATACA